CCAACGGTAGGAAAAAAAAAAGTGCGGGCCCACCACACATGCACACACCCATAAACCCTAAACCCATAAACCCTAAACCCCTAAACCCTAAACCCCTAAACCCTGAACCCCTAAACCCCCAAACCCCTGAACCCTTAAAATCCAGGAGAATTGCCCCCATCCTGCGCACGACGTTGCCGGTGTTCTTGGCTTTCTTCAACTCAGGGCTGGTCCACGGGCGGCCCATCCTGAGATGAATAGGGTCTATAGGGCTTAGGGTTTAAGGGTTTAGGCTTTAGGGCTTTGGTTTTATGGCTTTAGGGCTTAGGGTTGGTGTGGTTTAGGGTTTAGGGTATTAGGGTGCAGAGATTGAGGGGGTTAGGAAGCGGTACAAATGCAAGGCTCTACAGGGGGTTCAGGGCTTTGCAACTATAAGTTATAATGACTTACTATACAACCTTGCTCAGTTCAAAGGCGTTTGAGGGTGTATACGGGCTATATGATTAGTAGATGTACCTTGATACGGGTTTGAGGGGGTATGACGGCCCTGCGAAGTTCTAGAAGGGTTATAGGGCCTTACAGGACCCTACAACAAGGGTTCCATAATGAATGTAATTTGGGGTTGGAGGGTTCTTATACAAAAAGCTGTTCACAGAGCAGGGTAAGTTTTCTTTGGGAAGCTGGTGTTTTGGTTCAGGGTTTCACGGTCTATATAGGGTCTAAGCTTAAGGTTTAAGCGCCATAACAGGAAATTCATCTGAATTCGTTGGAAACAAGCTTTACCAAACCACGCTCCAAGAAACACAGCCCCAAAACATCAACCCTAGTACCTTAAATCCAAATGCTTCAGAACCCCAATCCGTAAATCCCGAACACTAGACTCGATCCCAAAACCACAAGATAGCCTTGAAAAAACCTAAATCCTTAATCTAAGGTTTAAACTCCTAAATTGAAACCTCCCAAACAAGCTCCTTAAATCTAATCCTTAAAGCCCCTAAATCCTAACTAACCCCCAAAATAAGCTTCAACTCCTAAATCCTAAGTCTAAGACTTTAACAAAGCCCTAAACCCTAAACTATCCTAAACCCTATAAACCCTAAACCTTTAAAACAAAGCCCCCCAAAAGGCTCTGTTTGTGGCCGAGGCTCTCGTCGAGGAGGCTGCGGCCGCTGTCGAAGCCGGCGCTCTCGCCACCCAGGTCTAAGCTCCTCGGTGAACCAAGGATAATACCGGGGTTTAGTTTAGGGCTTAGCGTTTAGGGTTTAGGATAGTGTAGGCTTCGGGAGTATATAAGACAAATAGGGCTCCGTTCAAGGATACCATAGGGTCCCTTAGTAATAAGAATAGGGCTCCTTTTCAGGATACCAGAAGAGTAAGAATAAGGTTCCTTTCAAGGATACCACAAGGGTTTAGGGTTTTAGGGTTAAGTTTAGGGTTTAGGGTTTAAGGTTTGCCATAGGGGCCTTAACCAACAAAAACACTCCACTTGGCGATGGACGTCAGTAGGCACGTGCGTACATGAGGTGGCTTGTGTATGAGTATGTGTACATCTATATATATATATACATATATATATATATACATATACACACATATATATATATATATATATATATATATGGTTTTTATTTCTTCATTTACTCAATTGCTTGTTTGTGTTTGTTTAATCATGTCTTTGGCACACATATACATGGCAAAAGTTCGGGTTGACAAGATATTTGGACTTCGATTTTTTCGGATGGGTGAGGGTGCTGAGAAAGCTGTTCTTTAGACCCTGTTCTTTAAACCTTTGGTCTAGGGTGATGAGCTGGCCTTCAGTTCTCGGGTCAAAACAGAAATGACGCCTCACTGAACCCTGAGCCTAAGCTGCCTTCCTAAACCCTGAACCCCCAAAACCCCTAGACCGTAAAACCCAAAAGCCCCTCAAGCTCAGGCCTTCCGAGGATGTCGACTTTGCCCTCGTACTGGACACCCAGCTGCACGCGGGGCTTCTCCCCCCAGTCCTCACCTGCCGTAGGGTTTGAGGCTTTGGTGGTCTTTAGGGTTTCGTAGTGTCGTAGTGTTATGGGGTTTTGGGGCTTGCTAGGGCTATAGCGGGGGGCTCCATGGGTTCTAGTGTTTCGGGTTTCGGCTAAACTGAGTTTAGCTGGGGCGAGAGGACGCTCTTGCTTGCGAGTTGTGGCCATCGGCTCGACGTCGAAAGCAAAGCTTTCTGCTTCGAGTTTTCAGGCATACGGTGCATAATTGCGGTGTACTTCTGGTCCGCAAAACCGATTTCTCAACCATAATGAGGACCCTAAACCCCAAATCCGGCTTGGGATTGCTTTTTTTAATGGTTTAGGGTTTCAGGGTTCAGTGGTTTAGGGTTTAGGGAATGGGCTGCGTTGCCCACCCCTCAATCAATCCTAAACCTCTGCACTAAGTCCGAAATCCTAGGCCCCGCAATCCTTGACACACGAAGACCCAGCCATCCAAGCAGAGTCCCTAAACCCTAAACCCTAAACCCTAAACCCTAAACCCTAAAGAGTGGAGTTCAGGGCCCCAGGATCCCTGATCTGCGTGTGTATGGGTAGTTCTGTAAATTTTGGTCCCTTTTAGGGTCCTTTTTTGTAATAGGGTGAGGTACTATTTTGGGGCCTAGAAAGGGACTCTATTTTGGAAAACTACCCATATAAGCCTTTAGAGTGAGTAGAAAGCTCAGGCTTTAAGGCTCAACACCGAGGAGGTCAAGAGTTCGAAGGGGGCCGGGGGGGTGTTTAGGGATGCTTAGGGTGCAATGGGTCCTTATCACCTGATTTCCGACATTCAGGGCCGGCCTATGCTTGGATCCTATACTTTTCTGAAGCACTTGGGAAAACATCTGAAATCATTACACGCCCTTCTACAACCACTGGCATTCTTGGATAGAACAACCTTGCAGAAGCCTGCTTCCTGACATTCCCACAAGGGCCCAGCCTTTGTAGGCTTTGCCGGTGAGACGAAGGTAGCCTCAAGTCAACCAGAAAAAGGCTTAGGTTATAAGGTTTTGGGTTTAGGGTTCGGGCTTAGGGGTTTAGGGGCTAGGGCTTTAAGGCTTCAGGTTTAGGCTTTCGGGGTTTTAGGTAACAAGATTGTCGGCACTGGAAATTTTTTTGCCAGCATATTGGCTTGCTTACTGATTCACCTCAAGTGCCACCAACGAACTGTTGTAGTGAATAACTACACTTTATGGGGAGTACAAAGGTCCTCAAAGTGTTGCCTAACTTAGCGTTTAGGGCTTGAGGCTTTAAGGGTTCAGGGGTATCGGGATCAGGCCCTGGACGCTCAGGGCTATTGCTGTAAGTGTCGATTCGCGATGATGGCCATAGTGTGGATGGTGATGACGACGATGAGGACGAGGATGACGATGGTGTCGACAACCAACCATCAGCCCTTTGTCGTCATGGTAGTCTGTCCATCCCAGATGACTTAAAACGGGGTTACCAACAAATATCGCTTTCATGCACTCCGCATGAGCTGTTTCACTTCAGCCGTTGCTAGCTTTGCCTCAAGGGCTCGACAAAGATCACCGGATGCAAACCTGCAAGGACTTCCTTCAACCCCACAGCTCGCAGAGACCTAAGGCTTGAGGGTCTGGGGACTGATCTAGAGCAAGCATCCTGGATGGCTTTGTCAAAAAAACATGAACTCCACTTAACACTTTCCGTCATGAATGCTGCAAATGCCCACTTCCACCTCTCAGCAAGAACGCGGACCTTCAGGCGATCCTCGCTGGTACTCTCTCTGCCACTATGTTCCTGCATATTCTTGCTATGTTACCTACTTGCGTTTTAGTCATGCAACCGTGATTGAGTTGATGTTTAGTCAGACCGAATCTTAGTTACTGAGCGCAGGAGGGAAGCTGCCGTCACCGAAGTCCACGCGCGGAGACCTGCGAAGGAAGAAGGGCTCTAGACTGCGAGTGCAAGGACTCTTCAGCTTAGGGTTTAGGGTTTAGGGTTCTACAGGGGCCTTGATAAAAGGGGCAGGATTCGGATAAATCCTTCTGATGGCATATATTGGATCTGCCATGATACGACCTTTTGGGCTTCTTCGTCACGACCCACGAGGCTATCCTGATTTCTGCCCTGAACTCATCTGCCGCAGCCACCGAAGCTCCAAGCACAAGCCGGTAAAAGCCACATGGGCATTTCTCAATTCATTAGGGTTTAGAGTTTAGGGCGTCCCCAGCAAAGACACCTCGGTCTCATAAAATAAACATTTCTGAATATGTGAACCACTCAAGGGGCCCACGGCACAAACTCCCCAAAACAGCCACTTCCTAGGTAAAGCCAACGAGTCTGAGAAGACCTTGGGCATGCAAGCCCCCTGCTTCAACCACAACATGAAGCTCTCGACCCTGACTATCACTATCGAGCACCTTTATGAATCCGTGAGGCATCTAGCAAGAAACTCAAGAATAGGAACAACAAGCCTGAGTAATGCCATTCATGTTGCGTCCTCTGCCGATCATCCACATCATCTGACAACCACCGCATCAACGACCCAGGAACACAAAACAACAATGAACCCCAAAAGCCAAAACCCAAGTAGGTCCTAAACTCAAACCCAAACAAACAAAGCAAAGACTACCCATAGGCCCCATAGTAGTTCCTTTTTGTGGCTTATATTTAGGATCCTTTTAGGTAATCCCAAAAAGGAGCTACTATGGGGCCTATGGGCAGCAACAACACAAAGCGCATGGCGCCTGATTTCCGAGGCCTGTGTGACCTGGGATCCCTTGGACCTCATCTCATAGCGCGCCTCGGTTTGCAGGGGGGGGGGGCCGTGCTTTGGTTCTTTACAGTCTTGGTTGAGGGTTTAGGGTTTAGGGTGCTTTGGTTCTTTATGAAGCATCTTCTTTCGGATATGTATCTTGCGGTTTTAGTTGAGGGTTTAAGGCTTTAGGGCTGAGGGCTGACATCCGTTACGGTTTTAGGAGTTTCGGTCGGTCGGGTGCAGGTCCTCTCGGCTTCGTCGGTTGCAGGCTTGTGTTGCGGATGAGTTGAGCATAAATCCTAAACCCCAAACTCAAGCTCAGGATAAATAGAAACTGTATATGTTTTGACGCGCGCGCCGCCGCCCTGTTGTTTAACTGCTCTGCTCTGCGACAACTTTTGGCCGACAGCGTAGCAACACAAGAACGAAGATTCCAGAAACAGCCGGCGGCACGTAGAAACAAAAAAACTAAAATTCCAGAAACAATGTTGCCTCGCCGGGTGCTTTTCATTCGGGTTTGTGTGTCCCGGCCGGGAATTTATTCCCGGACAGGGATTTTGTTTCCGGACCGGGATTGCGTTTCCGGGCTTTTGTTGCCGGGCCGGGATCGGCGGGATACCGGGATTGTGTTTCCGGCCAGACCTTTATCCCCAAGCACCCCCGCCCGTCCTTCTTGGCAGGGCAGGGCAAGGCGGGGTAGGCAGGCTCGACTCTGCTCGCAACTCTCAGGAGACAAGCTGGTTGAGCGGGTTCCCAGCAGGTTCCCTTCCACATCCAGCTTGAAGCCCATCAGATCGGGAAGCGGAACTCAAACCACAAATATGGAAGCTATTGACTTCCGATCTTCGAACTCCATAGCCATTCTGCGCTGTGGGGGGGGTGGGGAGTCTTAGAATAATCAACTGTATACATGGCGCCAGCGACGATCGCTAGGGGTATTACAACTGGCTGTGTAGCCCCTGACGCAAAGTTGGGGCTTAGGGCTCATCGCCGGCATAAAGGCTATCTGAATGTACGGCCTAACATACGGCCGGTTTAGGGATCTGGGGATTGCGTGGCCAGGCACGTCCACACCACGGAGCTTTGTCGCCGTCACCCTGCAGGGTGTGGGGATGATTCAGACACATGCAACCACTCAGATCATCTGAAATTGGTGAACAAGACGGATATCCGATACAGATTCAAACCCCAAGAGCGAACATAGCTAAGAGACAACACACCTCAGACCCTGACCGCGATGTAACTGCAGGCAACTGCCTCAACTGTAATTCATTTCGGGATGTACATGCAACCATGCAAGGAACTGCAGACAAGAAGCCGGTCTCAATAACTAACAACTGTAACAGTTGACATCGAAGCCTGCCCCTTTTAGCTTGTCTCTTTGCCGCAACTGGGACGCAACCCTACGTCTTCGATCTTGTTGCTGCACGCAGTCTCAGAACTTGATCTCAGCGTTAGGGTCTTCAGCGGGTACAGCCCGCAACATGCGGAGCCCTATAAGCTTGAACTCGAACTACTCATAATATCCCCCCCTCCCGAAGACTCCACAAAAGATCACCCCCACACACCCCAAACACCCTTAATAGTAAACCCGTGTCCCTCCTCAGGGAGCCCGCGACGTCTCCGTCTTCTCCCGAAGAAACGGATCCCACGGCTTTCATCTCTGGGACCTGCTCGGCTTCTCATCCTTTGGATCTCTTGGGTTTTTGTTGCTTAGGGGGTGTAAGGGCTGGGCGGCTTGGAGTTTAAGGCCTTGGAGGTTTGGGTGTTCGGGATCCATGGGTTCAGGGGTTTAGGCTTTAGGGGTCTCTTGTTTTGAGGGCTCAAGGGTGTTTGGAGCTACAGGGTTTCAGGGCGTAGGGCGACTTCGGTGTTGGACTTGAGGGCGTGTGGCTTGGGATGCAGGGAAGCAGACCGAAGCTTTCTGCATGGTGGTCCTCAAGCTCATCCGACATCATCATCACCACTACCATCACCATCGTCATCGGTAGTAGATTCGCAGTACGGCGAGTCTTTCAGCTACTCGACATCCTGCCCTGGGCAAGGCCAGCACAGAACCACTAGAATCCCGAAACCCCTGCACACCAAGCCCTCAAAACAGAAAGCCTAAACTCTAACCCCCCAAAAGAACTCTCCCTCTCCCTCTCCCTCTCCCTCCTCCATCTCCCTCCAGCTCTCCCTCCAGTTCTCTCTCTCTCTCTCTCCCCACTCCCTCTCCCTCCAGCTCTCTCTCTCTCTCTCTTTCTGGGCCTTGGCGGGGGTCAGGGTCATCGAGGCGGACAGGGCTGGCCGGGAAGCACCCCACTTGTAGCGGCTTCGGAGGGCCAAAGTCCTAGGATCGGCTCGGAGTTTGGGGGTTTGGGGATTTTGGGGGTTCCTTTTTTTTTTGGTTATCGTAGTATAAAAGGCTACCTAAACGCGTTTGTTTCTTTTATAAATTGTATATTATAAGTATATTACACCCCCAAACCCTATTTTAACCGCTCAGGCCCCTATATCAAAAATAGGCGTTTAGGGTTGTGGGGTTTCAAGGCTTAGGGGTTTTCGGGCTTAGGGTTTGGGGTTTAGGGTTTAAGGTTTCGGGTTTGGGGCAAGCTGTGGGATGGACCATTTCCGGGGCTCAGGGTTCAGGGAGATCGGGAGTCGGAGGGCTTCCGCACCATCAAAATACTTTAACGTGGACCTTTGGGTGACAAACCTCTTTGTTGATAGATATCCATATATTCGGATCCCGATTAGAATCACTTTTGACTTGAGGTAAAGAAGATCCTGATCAGGGGCCGAATATTGTACCCAAACCCTCAAGCAGCAGGAGCTTGCAAACCCAAATCCTAGATCCCATAAAACAATATTGAATCTGCGTTGAATATTCTAAACCTCATGTTTAAAGACAGCCAAAACCATAGAGATTGAAGTAAACCGCGCCAACGGCTCGAACCATCAGCCGCGATCTTGGGTGCCAGAGATCCCATATCGATGGTGGCACCTCAGCAGGTTCTTACCGGGCTTAAGTAGGGGTTTAGAGGTTTACAGTTTAAGCGCGGGCTTAGTGGTTTCAAGAAGCTTAGGGCTTGGAGTTTGAGGCTTTGAAAGGGCCGATGGGCTTCAAGGCTAAAGCAACTTGAGGGCTTGAGGGTTTATGTGGATTTTGCGGCTTTTGGCTTCCGGAGCTTCTAGGGTTTAGGGTTCATGGGGCTTCAGGGTTTAAGGAACCAAATATTGGAATCAACAAAGTCCCTAAATAGAGCCCTTGTAGAACCTGTAAAGGAAGCCTTTAAGGTACTACGGGGTTCTATAATGACTACGGGGTTCTATAATCAGGTTCCCCTTAAATGTACTATACATGGTTCTGTACAAGGTTCCCTTTATGTGTCCTTTGGGTTTCTATGTTCAGGTGCCCTACCAAGGACCCCTACCAGCGTTTCCACGGCGGACTTCGTTGGCTTCCTGTGCTCCTACTTGGAGGATCATGGGACTTAGTAACTAGGGTTACAAACAAGGCAACTATACTTACATTTACTTATAACCCCA